CCTCTCTCCCTTCCCCGATCTAGCCACCGATTTCAACAACTCTTTCTGGAATCTCGAAGCCATGGGTCTAGGCAATAATGCGAACAACAATAACTTCTTCGATCCGATGAGCAGTTACTTCGTGCCGTTCAATGTGGAGCCGCCACCACAGCATAGTCTAGGCGACGATGGAGTTTTTGCAGGGCAGGGCGCTGAGGCGTATGGGTTCGCGCTGGGCGCGGGGACGCCTGTTGATTTGGATATGATGCATGGTGGTGGTGGGGCGAGGATGCATAGGGGGAGTGTTAGTGGGGGGAGACCGAGTTTGGGGAGGAGGGGCACGGGATTGGAGTAAAGGGATGTTTTTCTAAAACGACCTTGATTGGGGTCATTGGTATGGGAAAATTAATGTGGGGATGAATATCAGGTATATACCATCGGACGGAGTTCTCAGTGATATGAGGCTGTGTATACGGTGTCGGCGCAATCAGGAAGAAGGCCTCAGGGACTAGGTTGTTCATAGTCAAAAGCGCGGCTGTATCTTGGATTTGGCTTTGCAATACCACTTTACGCATCTGAAGTTTTCTTAAGATTCTATATCATCAAAGCGCAGTAAAGTGACCATGGCGCTATGCGTCACGTTATCGTCGTGCTCATGGTGATGGCGCACTTCCTGTATCTGCTCTAGCGCAAATCACGCATCTGGGTAGTCGCAGGCCGGCGGATTGTCCCCCAAGCTTTCGTCTCGCATCGACACTGCGCCCACCTCCAAACTCACACTTTCACCATTCCTCGGGGCTGTGGAATGTATTCATAATGGAACTTCTGTCATACATCACGTCCACAATGATATCTTGCGCTTGTCTGCCTCAGATGAGGGGTAAGGCTTCATTCGTCGACCAGGCTGAAAGCGCCTTACAATGACGATTGGACATTGCTTCACCGGTCTGATGATCATGGCCTAATTATCCCAATGTGGCGCCGTCCTCAATGCCTACTGGTGTAGAGAGAAGCTCATTGCCTCCGCGCGAGGCACCGGAAGAAGCTTGCATATCTGACCGGTTCGTCCATTGATCGAGCACTGTGAAGCTGAATTGTGATATAGAGAGAGATTGCAGTGCCTATGCTCTTCCGACTGATATCACAAGACCACACCGCCGAATATCATCATACCATGCACAACATCACCACCCGGAATGTCGGACGAAATAGCCCTGCTTCCTCGCCTCTTTGAGCCGTTAGAGGAGAACCAAATACGCATTTTAGTCCTCTATCCGTCTAAGGACCGCAATCGCCCTTTATCAGGGCGTCATGACGTCCAGACTCTTGCGAAGAAAGGCGATGCCAGCCAAGCGCCCGACTGGAAAGAGTACTTTGCTCTGTCTTATGTTTGGGGAGATCCTACCAAGACGGGCTGGCTTACGCTTGATACCGGAATGCTCGAAATCCGTTCGAATGTACACCAGGCTTTATTGGAAATACGACAGGACAATGAAGAGATAAGGCTCTGGGTAGATGCAGTCTGTATCAACCAAGGCGATCGTCAGGAGAGATGCTTACAGGTGTCGCTCATGGGTGATATATACTCAAATGCAAGGTCGATCGCCATTTGGTTGAATGATGACAGAAACATTCTTGGAAGTACCATCACACCTCCAAGGATTCCATCTTACCACTGGGCTTATAGGTTGTGGACAGCGTACATGAAGCTGTCAGTGCTATCAGATATACGTATCTTGTATGGCGCATTGGAGTTCTTCTGCAACAGCAGAGGGGGTTTCTCTCTGCTTTGCAACGGTCGTGTAATACAGGTCAAACGAGCAAACCTAAACAAAGGAGCTTTGGGTAGATCGTTATTGACCCAACCCGCAGTCACGCAGGTTGCAGGGATTCAACACACACTTCCATTCAAGTACCAAATCGGCCACCATATTCTTGACGACCATCGATCTGTCATGCAGCAGCAGTATCCTCGACGAAACAAAGTGCTTAAGTCTCACGGAAAGCCTCAACACCGCATCGTATTCGAAGAGATCAGTTTCTCGCGAAGTCGCGCAATCAAGATCATACCTTCGTTAAGTACTGCAATTTTCAGCTCTTGGCTCAAATCCAGGGTAAGGTAGCCGCTACAAATAGCTCTCAAGATATTTTACTAACTTCTTACTAGTATGTATCCTCCTTGCTACGCTTTAACAAATCAATTTCGAGACATTTCATTATTTGTGCTGACAGCTTGATAGCGAGAGAAGGAACTCCATGTTATGGCTCAAGAGCAACCACCTGAGCATCGATGAGAGATATGATAGCGGGAATACCCAGTGCGAGGCTCTAGTCGACACGAATATAGAAACAAAAGGGATTGAATCTGAACGAGCGAGAACGTCGAGGGATACTGATCAGCGAGCGAGTGAAGAAAGAACTATACGAGGCTACAGGATGTTCTGGACGTGTGTAAGTTGTACCAAGTCGCGTTCAACGATGGAGAAGAGATATCATTTCCACAATGCTAGCATCCCCAGCTGATCCAATGAGCAGACCTGCGGCCATAAAGGCCTCGATCACTACATAGAGTACTGCTCCGGTTCTGTACGGGAGCTTCTACATCGTCTTCATGATGCCGGTATTCATGGATACATTGAGCCCTGGGACCCGCTTCAACCCGGTCGCTTTGCCATAAGCCACGCAGTCGCACGCCTCTCGATAATCGTCAGCAACATGCATAGGTGGGTCCTTATGTCTACAGTCGGCTATGTTCGACCGTACCATGCAGACTGGCTCCCTAAAGACCCTACAAAGACGGTTCCGACATCTTGGGGCACTAAAAAAGGCAAAAGGCCCTATATCGAGAATACCGCTGGTCGTACGTCCAGGACTTATTTCCCGACTGCCAGCTCCCAAAGTCATGGCACCACAGCTTCGTTACTATTCAGTGGCAACCCTGGTGTTCCTTCTACAAATACAACGGGTCAATGCAATCAAAGTAGTTCGTCAACGACATGCACGAGCACAAACACCACACAAGTCAACATACGGGAGGATTTTATACTTCTCTGCATGAGAGTGAAGAAGTTCCTCACTAGAAGACACGACGTCGGAGTATCCGGCATCACATGTGACCGCGAACTTTTTCAAGCCTTTCGTAACGAGTACAATTCAAGGTTTGGACGAATTTATCGAAGGTTCAGCCTTCGAACAGCACAACGCATGAGCTTCGTAAAGGTGGAATGCTTAATTCCACGGTCTGCAATCGTTGTTGCTGACGCGCTTCACTAGTTTGTTTTGCATCCCCGCTCAGAAGTCGACGGTTTGATGGCTGACATGCCACCGGACACCGTTAAGCACTATACGTGCGATCCTCGCAAACCCGACCACATACCTGCTATAGGCAGCGACTTTCTGATGCACCGCTTCACTTCACCAGAGGCATGTTTCCATGACAAGATATGTCTCAACCAAATGCCGAAACGTGTTGGTGAGCGCCCAACACCAGGCATCGACCCAGATTTCTACACAGGTTGGGGAATGCACATAGACGAAGGTTTGAATTTCGAGCGCATATGCTTCATACTCTTTATCGGCATTGTATCTGGAGGAACGTTCGGGATTGTATGGGCAATCTGTAAGAAAAGTCTGCAAGATGGGTTTGCGGTAGCAGGTTTCATCATCGGCGCTGAAGCTATAGCAGTCGCTAGTTTACAGCTTCTGTTGGCTTTTGAAGCTAGATAACGCAACTTCGTGGTCGCTGGGGATCGCGTTTGCTGAGGTCTCATCTGAGCGCTTGATGAAGGGCTTTTCGAGACCGGGTGGATATACTAAGCGAGCAACACGCGGTTTCTGCAAACCAGAGGTCGCTTTTCCTATGTCTGATCTACCGCACAGCTGATGTACAAAGCTCACATTCGCGCCGCCTACCCCATTTCGGCCGCTCCACTTCATCAACACCTCGACCCATCCACTTACCAACCATCGCAGCCACATCCCAAATCCCCACCCCAGCCTCGGATCACAAGATCCGTCGCATATCATACCAGGGCACGAGTTTGAGGGACCAGGCATTTCATGTTTGAAGATCGACCGTGTCGTTTGGTGAAACGCTAGTGGCGACGGGCCTGCAACATCATGCAGCTGCGGGTGGATCACGGCAACTAGTATTCGCCTACGCTGATGCTGAACAGGATAGTTGCGAGTGATTGGAAACCGATGATTTGAGTGTGTGGTTTTGCATGTTCGGAATCAACCGTGTTTGGTGCGACTTGTCATGCGCGCGGGGTGGAGTTACTCGTTTTGGTGCAGGCCGCAAGAACAACACCACGGTGCGATGGGCGCTACGACAGAACCTCACACATGAGTAACTCATCAATACTGATCGTGACATCCAGCATGCGGAGTAATTCTGTGTGAGTTGTATATTCTGATAGGCCAACAATGTGATGGTGGTATTATGTGAAACATACATGCGTTTGCTTGTTTAGTGGGATTCTGCAACTCCAAAGACAGCGTTTCGCAAATCCACGATCTTGCATTGAGAGTTTCCGCCTTGGCGCCTTTAGCCTTCATCCCCAGGCGCAGACGAAACTGAGTATCGGAACGTTGACACCTCTCAGCGCCTGGGTAATCGGCACTCCGCCACAGCCAAGTATGGGAGGGAAACGCCTCACTGCCGCCAAGCACGTTTAGCCTTGCCGGAAGACCTTCGAAAACGCATCTTGACACAAGAGCCTGCCTGCATCCATACTGAATTGTACATGCCAATGACGAGCTGAGTGGAGCGGTGGGCGGCTGTCATCCCAATGGAGAATACGATGCGATGTAGATCGACAATGCAGCGCAATGGGAAAGAGGTATAAGATGCCTTGACGAAGCCGGCTCTACAATCATCATCAGCATTCAACTCTTCAGCTCCTCTACTAATACTTCATTCTCCATTAGCCTGGTGCTTCTCGCTTTTCATCTTTACTTTCAAACCACCCATATCTTTTAATCCACCGAGTTGATCTCGATTTCAAATACACACATACAATATGCACTTCTCACCAGCTCTCGTCCTCGCCCTTGCGGCTGCCGTTTCTGCCCACGGTGTGGTCTCTGAGATCAAGGGTGCCAATGGAGTCACCATGCCTGGCTTGACTATCCAAGACGGAACTCCTCGCGACTGCTCCTCCAAGTAGGTCTCTCAACCTTCTATTCTTGAAACAAGTTACTAACCAATCTTCAGCGGCTGCGGTTCTCAAGCCGACACTGCCATCATCAGGGACCGCGAAATCTCCAGTGGCAAGACTGGTCCTCTTGGTCGCACACAAGGTAACGGCAACGTTGATGCTGCCGTTATGGTTGGTGCCTTCATGGGACAGGGTGCCGCGCCTCCTGCGAACAACGGTGCTTCTGGAAGTGTTGGTGTCGAGGACAACATCCAACAGGCTGGCCAGAGGAAGCGTCAATTCCTCAGCGGTCTTCTTGGTGGAGGCGCTGGTGGTGCTGGAGGTGCTGGCGGCAAGGCCGGTGCTACTGGTATCGCTGGACTGCTCGGTGGAGGTGGTGACAAGGTCAACGGCCCACCAGAGTCACGCGTTGCTGCCGCAGTAGGAGCAGGTGCCACAAGCGGCATGCCCACTTGCGCTGACGATGGTACCGTCACCATGACTCTGCGCCAGGTAAGCGATCACTCCTACTCATTTTCATACATTTCTAACTCATTCCTTTCAGATCAACCAGGACGGTGCTGGACCATTCACTGCCGATGTTGATGGTACCTCAGGCGGTACTGACGAGGCCGCCATGCAGCCTGCTACCGTCACCCAGGACGTTCCTGGCCTCGGTGTTCAGGGTATCTCGCTCGCCACCAACACCGAGTTTGCCATGAAGGTACAGATGCCGGCTGGTATGACTTGCGACGCTACTGTTGCTGGTGTCAACAACGTCTGCGTCATGCGCGTCCGCAACGGTGCTGCCGCGGGTCCCTTCGGCGGATCTGTTGCTTTCACACAGGGCGCCGCCGCCAGGAAGCGCGCCATCGCTTACAAGCTCAAGAAGCGCATGGAGATTGGTAACAAGAACTAAGGTGGATGTGATGAACACTCTACCCCAATGTTAATACATGGACTGGCTGGTTCAGCGCCAACGATCGATGATGGAAATCGGGTACATATGGATAATGAGTATTATAGAGTATAACGAATCGCAATGAATGCTTCATAAGAAAAGAAACATGCGTCCTTCTTGCACAAGTCCGGTGGTTGCTGACGTCGGGATTAATGGATTTAAGAGTGGCGGTTTACCGGGAGAAGTGACGCCAAGGTGAAGGATCGAAAACCCACTAAGCTAAGCCTAAGGCGGACCAAGCTTATCGTAACTGCTATTCTGCCCCCGCCACCCGGTTGTTATCCTGCTCTAATGCCAGCAATCAACACAGCAACAGACAGTCCAAAGTTGGGACGGTATGTAGACTTCCAGCTTTGAAGCGATTCTGCGCATAGTCGCTCTTCGTCAGAATGCTTCGAAACTATTCAGACCCTGTCATCGCGCAATCCACAGTAAAAATCGCAACATGCACCAAGCCATAGTACGCTATTATTCGTCACAGATCTACCGTTCCCACGCCAAGTAAAAACTAGGAAGTCGCTTATAACGGTGGTATGCCTAGTTCTATGCGTCTGTCTCTCTGACCACCATCTTCCGGTTCGACATGGCCCTCTTTGATTCGAAAGCTCCCGCCGAGCACCCGTCGCCCACGGCAAACTATAGCGACGATGACTTCCAACGAATGGACCCCAGTGGAGTCAAGCGAGGCCTCAAAACTCGTCATCTATCCATGATGGCGCTCGCTGGAATCATTGGACCTGGTATTCTGGTCGGTACTGGTGGTGCCCTCGCAGAAGGAGGACCGGCATCTCTGCTCATAGCTTTCAGCGTTATCGGATTCATCGCTTTCAGCATTACGCAATCCTTGGGAGAAATGACAACCTTGTATCCTACTGGTGGTGCTTTCGTCACGCTTTCCGACCGATTTGTCGACAAAGCATTCGGAGTAGCGGTGGGCTGGCAGTACTGGCTGGTGTGGGCATGCGTGCTAGCAAACGAGTACAATGTCATCTCCTCTATTCTGGTCTTTTGGGGTCCGGAGGTGCCTCTATGGGGCTACTTCCTAATCTTCTGGTTTGCATTCCTAGGCTTCCAGATGTTGGGCGTCGAGTCTTTCGGCGAAGCGGAGTTCTGGCTTGCCCTGATCAAGCTTGCGGGTCTTTGCGCCTATTTCATATTTGCCATCATCTATGCTTCTGGCGGTCTCATCGGGCAAGATGAGGCACTCGGATTTCGGTACTGGAACGACCCCGGCCCCTGGGTAGACGGCTTCCGCGGAGTAGCCACAGTCTTCGTTTTCGCTTCGACGTTTTACGCCGGTGTCGAGGCGGTTGCTGTGGCCGCTACAGAGACCAGAAACCCATCGGTAGCTGTACCTCTGGCAATTCGACAAGTCATTTGGCGAATTCTCTTCGTATACATCGGAGTTGCCTTCTTCTTTGGGCTCACCTGCCCTTCGAATGCGGACGGCCTAGCGAACGGAGCCAGCCGCGCACTAAAAAGCCCTATGACCATAGCAATCCAAAACGCTGGATGGCAAGGAGGCGTGCATCTGATCAATGCGTTCATCTTTATTACAGTCCTGAGCGCTGCGAACAGCTCAATCTACATTGGGTCTCGAACGATACTCTTCATGGCACAAGAGAAAATGGCGCCGAAGTTCCTTGGGAGGACGAACAGCCGTGGAGTCCCAATCTACGCCATTGTCTTCACAAACCTGTTCGGGGCGATATCCATGATGAACGTCAGTACTGGTGGTGGCCAGGCGTATTCCTACATCGTCAATCTGAGCGGTGTCTCTACCTTCCTTGTTTGGGGTTCTATCTCCTTTACACACATTCGCTTCCGGAAGGCTTGGAAAGCACAAGGTCGAACGCCCGACATGTTACCTTTCAAGTCGCTCGCTTACCCGTGGAATGCCTACTTTGGAGTATCAGCCAACATATTCCTCGCTCTTGTCCAGGGCTGGACCACGCTGAGCCCATTCGATGCAGGCACATTTGTCGACGCTTACATCATGTTGCCGGTGTTCGGGATCATGTTTGTGGGATACAAGGTCATATTCAAGACAAGTTTCAGGCGAAGCCACGAGGTTGATCTTGACACGGGAATGAGGAAGGACTTGGACATGAAGGATGAATACGTGCAGACGGAACCGCATACCGAGCCGCGAGTGAAGCAAGGCTTCGTCCAGAACCTCTGGCGAAATTTCTGAGTAACATGACCAGTGTATTTGGTCGCCTATACGATAACACCACTATCAACAAGACTGTAATTCTATCATGCGACTCTCATTCGCGCAAATGCAAGTAGCTACGAAATAAGGCTGACAATGGCTGCTTGCTGATAAATGATACCAAGCGCTTCACGCGACAATTCGCGGTGCATGCCTTTTTGAGTGACCCAATCGGTCTGAAAACCCCGCATCAATCGCCTTGGACTATACCACAATCTAATAATAACGGTTCACTAGGGTCCAGAAGGATGCGACTCCGTCAAATTCTCTCGTGGCATTACGCCCAGGAGGATCGCAAACCCTGTCGTGCTGTCGTCTCATTGGCCAGATTTGATAATAATAGCCGTGGGCCTCTGCTCGCGGGCCTGGTCGCGGTAGCCTAACTGTGTGGGCAACCACGCCGCAATGCTGCATACCTAGGTAGTGCCATGCAGCCTCCCGAGTTACTCTTCAACCACCGATGTCATTTGCGCAGTCGTACATTGTTCAATCCGTACTTGCTACACGCTCGCTCGTATAATTGAATTTCGCTGACTCCCCTCCCATTGGTTGGATGAAACTCGAACAAATTACCATGGCGACGGTGTCCGGTAAACCACGCCAGAGAGCCTGGAAACCCAAAGCACGCTCTGGCTGTAAAACTTGCAAGTAAGTCGCTGCGTCAACTATAAAGTGTGCCTATCGTCATAGCACGGTATGGCTTGCACTTTGTTTGTGGCTGGGCTCGTAGCCCGCAAAGCTCCAGCCGCCCACTGGCAGGTACCGCAACGCGAAACGTCAACCCGATAAGCCATTCTCCAGCTTCAAGCCGCGTCGTCATCAAATCCCACTACGCATGGACTCGAAGCTGAATATATCGTCTTTTAGTACTGCTGTGTATCCAATGGTCTCTTGCTAATCTGTACAGAATACGCAAAGTCAAGTGTGATGAGGAGAAACCGAACTGCAGACGATGCACCTCAACGGGCCGTACGTGCGATGGCTACGATCCATCTTTCAGACCTCCGCCACCATCAACGCCCTCGCCTCCAGAGTCATCGAGAAGTTCACCTCAGTCGGTATCAAGTTGGAGCTTGACACGGTCTCATTCGCCAGTCTTCATCGCTCCAGCCATTCGTCTCGATACCAAGGAGGAGCGAGATAGCTTCGAGTTTTTCATGACGCATGCCGTCTCAAATCTGCGCGGATTCCTCGATTCGCCGTTCTGGCAACGAGAACTGCTTCAAGCTGCTCATCGTGAGCCCGCGATTCAACACTGCATTATCGCCTTGGGCGCTATGTATCGACGCTTTTCCGAAGGCTGCGACTCACGTCTGACCGAGACAGCCATACTGGATAATTACCTACAATTCGCTTTGCGACAGTCGAATCAAGCAATTCAGGACTTGTTGAAAAAGCCGAAGAGCAACGACAAAGTAGTCAAATCAGATAAGATCACGCTTATGACCTGCGCTATCCTGTTCACCAGCATGTGTTGTTTGCAAGGCTACCAAAGAGACGCAATCGAACACGTACGCAGCGGCATCCGGATGTTAAACGAAGTGGACCAAGGGAAAGAAAAGTTTGATCATCCGATAGAACTGGAGTCTATACGCACCATCTTTGTGGGATTCGATACGCAGATTAGGGCGATAATGCCAACGCACATCTCACCATCCTGGGTCGCGAAGCCCAAGACTAGACCGCTGGGCAGTTCAACGAACACGCTGAGTATGTCTGCGCTACATGCGATGTTGGGACACACACAGAGCCTACTAAATAGCATCCACGCTTTCAACCAAAGAACCAAACTACGCCCCGCCGACGAAGTCGAAGAAGTATACATCGAATACCTCGACCTCATCTCCCGCTACCACCGCGGCAAACTCACCATGGACAATCTCTGGAAGCAAGCCCCTGCCTACGGCGAAGAATACACCGAACCCCTCACGGCATTGGAACTAACACAAGCCCAAATGGAATTCCTCCTCCGCGCCCCACGAGCCGATCTCATCCAGAAATTCCCCTGTCTAGGCGACTTCAAACCCGCACGGAAACCTTTCATCGAACCCTTCGACATGGCCGCACAATTCGTGCTCATCTTCGAACTCGCTGCTAAACTCCTCCCTCTTTCAGGCGCGCAGACGCCTATCTTCCAAACGCCCGTTGGTCCCACATCCGCACTCTGGGCTATCGCCGTCCGCGCACCGTCGTCTTGCCAAGCCCTCCGCAAACGCGCTGTGAAACTCATGCTGAGCCATCCCCGAAGGGAAGGATTTTGGGATGGCATGCTTGCGGGGCAGATTGCGGAAGAGGCGTTGAGGTTTGAACAAGAACGTGCGCGAGCGGAGATGGGTATCGAGGAAGATGAGATGTGTGCGGAGCTGGAGGTGCCGGAGCATTTGCGTATTATTGCGTTCTATTTGACGCATCCGAAAGATAGTGATCGGACGGTCAAGGTTGAGTTTTCGGATGCCAGGGATTTGGCGATTGGGATCCCGGGGTCGGTTAAGTGGATAACTTGGTAGAAGGGTGGTGGCTTGAGACACAAAAGTGTCAAGACAGTCTTGTGCTATGACATGAAGATGTTGGTCTCCTGAGTTAGCCGACCCGAGAGTGTCTACTTGTTCTTCACCGCCAGGGCAGCGCTTCTGCAGTACGGAACAGCATCTCCTCAGCGCCGTGCTACAGCATTCGACAATCTACGTTTCCTCGACTCGGGGTCCAGAAAATGGCATTACAAAGGCGTGAAAACGTTGATGAA